GTTGGATTTTGGACTCGGTTTTAGAGCAGTTAGTACTACCAAGACTCACCCGGTCCATTCGTGAGTGGGATCCACTTACTGACACAGTACCCATACATATATGGATTTTACCCTGGCATAATGTTTTAGGTTTTAAAATGGAAGAGTCTGTGTATCCAACAATTCGTGAGAAATTAGGATTTGCTTTACATGGTTGGATGCCACATGACCGTTCGGCACGTGCTATGCTATTACCATGGAAAGGTGTGTTCAATGTATCAGAGATGCAAGAGTTTCTTGTAAAACATATTGTGCCTAAACTGCAAATGGTGCTTAGTGAGCTAATCATTAATCCACTTGATCAAAAGTTAGGTTAGTTTAATAAACAAAATCAGACTTAGCTATAGTATATAATCAATCAATTCAATTTACAGATATGTGGTACACGGTTTGGGAATGGTATGAAGTACTTCCTCTAAAGGTAATGACGCAGTTGTTGGAGAAGTCTTTCTTCCCGAAATGGATGCAGATGCTAATTATATGGCTTAATCAATCACCAAATTATATTGAAGTGACTCGTTGGTACGCTGGCTGGAAGTCTATGTTCCCAGCAGAATTTCTAAACGAACCAAATATCAAAGACATATTCCGTCGTGCTCTTGAAGTAATGCATCGTGCAACAGATAACACTGACAAGCTCACATCGTTTGAGTCAAAATCTGCACAACCGCCAGCACAAGCACCTCCTCCACCGGCTCTAATGGACATACAAATAACAAAACCTATACAGCTTGAGTTTAAACAGGTCGTTTCACAAAAGTGTGCAGAGCTTGGTATCCTGTTTGCTCCACTACCTGGTAGACGCGAATTAGGAAAACAGGTAAGCTGCACAGTGTTTATTGAAAGTTGAAATCAATATTGAAGTTAATTTTTATCTTTAACTCCTATAGATTTACCGCGTCGGAAAACTTTATTGCTACATTGATCGAAACATTTGTATGATCAGTGAAAATACACAAAGCAGTTGGAGGCCTATTGGGTTAAGTCAAATGCTTGATAGAGCCATGACGGGCGTTATCAATTAGTCAACAAATTTTAAGTGTAGAACCACATAAAAGTTTTTTTTTAGTTTTAAGTATGAAATTTTTTACATCATTTTAAATATGAAAGTTTAAGCCACAAAGTTTTACTCTCATTGTTGCTATAACCAAATTCAATTTATAAATGAAACTTTTAAAAAAAAACCATATGTTTTTAAAACTAAAGTTTTAATTTAATTTAAAATTTTTAAATTTATTCAGGCTGCTTGTAATTAAAACAAAATTTAAATACTATAAATAGGATATGTTCGTATATTTGATTACGAATGGCTCTATTTAAAAAAATATGTCATCAACTCTTACGAAAATTAAATGTCATATTTTTATAATAACAATATTGTAATTTAATTTAATTTAATTTAATTTAATTTAATTTAATTTAATTTAAATTAAGAGTTTACATTTAAGTGAAAATCCTGATATGATATTAAGTGTAAAACTGTAACATTCTTAGTTATAAGTAAACTTAAGTTAGTATCTACTAATGAACTATTATCAAACTAAGAAAACAATCGTCTTTCGATATAACTTTTAAAGATAGTGGTGAAACACAGAGAACGCTTGTTTTCGGAGCTGGCTAGGACGTACCAACATGCACAATATATTCCTCTTATAACAATGCAATCGCACACAGATAATGCTTATTGCTTGCTCGATCATACCAACTCGAACTAGTTGACAAAAGTGCAAGAATATAGAATCATGTGTTTGTCAGCGTCGAAATTGAGTGTTTGATGGTGGTTCACTGGTGGTGATCTTATGCCATATTTGATATGTTCTCTTTGTTCGCAGTGCCAGCATTAACTGGTGCTGACATCAAGTGCAATATTTTTTAATTGATTTCACCATAAACGAACGTTCTTTATGTTCTCACTCTAAGCCAGTTATGAGTTTAATTGTTAACTTGTAATACCCAATAGACATTTATTAAAAATAAATTGTATGTATAAGTAAGATATATAAGATCCTAAATATTTGTAATATACATGTACATGAATTTAATAATTCAATAATTAATAAATTATTGAAGTCAAACAATTGATTAAAAAATCGAAAATGTAAGCCATTAAAGCAGCTCAGATTGCCGACCGTTTTAAGCATTTTGTATGATGTGACTGATTCGGAAATCCCAGACATTTAAGCAGATCACCTTAATGATGTTATGTAAGGGAAAGCAAAAGCCTAGGTTTTATAACTTATGTCTCTTATATGACATATGGGTTTAATGACTTTAAGGTTGTTATATGCAACCAGATGTGAAAGTGTAGATTACCACAAAAACTATTTACGGTGTATAAAAGATATTGGGGTAGCAAATCATCGAAAGATGACTTTCCAGATTGTATGACTCCAGCACTAATGGTGTTATATGGAAATGAATACGAAAAGAAAATTATTGATAGATTAGAGAAGTTATATGGCAAAAGCAATAATTAAGGACAAACAACCTAGAGCATGCTCCTTAACAGAAGTAGAGGCTGAAATTTCTGATAATGTAACACATTGTTTTGCTCTATTGTCAACAGAAATAAAAGTTCAAGTTGTGCCAATAGACTACCCGAGGGCTGTTAAATAATAAAAAGCCCGAACGATGTTATACGGTTTTAAAAGAAATACGTTATTTGTAAATCGCGGAAGCAAGTATTCAAGCCATATTGTGGACTGCCTTAATGATGTCTATCGAAAAAAGAACGGAATTAAAAGTACAGATTGCACCGTAGACTACTTTAGAGATAAGACAGATCAAGAAAAAGTTAACGTTGTATGGTACGTATGGTACTTTTTAATGAATATAAAGCGATAAAACTAAAAGAGAAAGTGCAAGTAGAATAGTAGGATGTCTTAAAACACAAGCTAAATTTCAAATCTTATAGCAGGCGAGTTTAGTGACGTTGAAGAGTGAAAGCAATAATAGGAGTATAGGTTATAGGTTATTATAAGTAGCAATTCACTTTAAAGGACTTAAATAGTGAAAACACAAGGGAAAATTTATTATGTGTTGCACTCTAGACTTATTATAGCAAAAGGGATATGTGATTCCCCAAGGTTGTCTAAATTTCTTTACCTAGCAAAAGCCAAATAAGAATCCAGTGCAAGTGACATTGTGGAATTGATCTGCATAAAAACACAACTGTCATATGTAACACTGTGAAGTGATAACGAGAAAACTAAAACGACAGGACGGAAAAGTGCCTCCTCTTTAATTGGTTAAAGTGTTGACGTGAGATGTATGCAGGAGTCTACGTATTATTCTTGTAAATCGAAAAACTTTGGTCTAAAAGGCAAAGATACATATTTGAATCGTAATCAATTGTGTGTAGTGATTTGTTTGTCTCGACGTTCATTTCTTTCTTCTGTTTAGAAAGTAGAGCTTAAAATACCGAATATCGTGAAAATCGATACATTGATAATCGATAATAGATAATCGATAATCGAAAAGATAAATCAATTGGTTCAAAATTATGACAGTATTTCTGTAATAATATGCATTCTTTTTTTAAAAGAAGTCAATTATAAGGCACTTGTATTCATAGATTTTTTTTATAACCAAACATTTTTACACTAATTTTTAAAAATTATTAAAGTAATTCCTTATGTGAAATGTTCTTTTTTTGTTCTACAGATAAATACTGGTAAGTAAAATTGCAAATTTAATGTAGATGAATCCTTCAATGGATTTATAATTTTTTATCAAATTTAAAAAAATAAAATTATTATATAGACATATTTCTGGCAGAACATGGTTTTACGTTAATAAAATTTCTGATTCTTACTGGTGAAAAAATGAGAGTCACATGATGAATGGTCCCCTAATTTTACACTCTTCGGTCATGACCAAAAGGCAGGTTATGTAGAGAGCCAGATCACATACATGAAAAATTTTTCTTCAATGTTCGAATTTTATGGGACATTTTTAATATGGATATTGTTTTTTCTAGTAGTTGGAAAATAGTTTAGTGGACCCACTAAAATGACATATTAGGAATGCGAAATGGACAAATATCACCGATTGCATCTGGATGGTCAAAAGCTGATACCATATTTCAGTAATCATGGAAAAAATTGACATTACATACAGCAGAAGGCTTTCTATTTAGACAACAAATATATCTAAGCCAAAATGGTAAAAAGTACTAGGAAGTAATTACTGACTAGTAGCAAACTCTGTGCAAGAGTTTACTCTTGTGTTTGTTGCTACTATGATTGTAAAGTGTATCACCCTGTAAATATTAGGTACGCCGATATGAAATTGAGTAGGCTCAAAGCTATAAGTGGGAAGATTATAACGGTTGGGAACGCATTTTCGCGGTAGGGATAACAAAAAGTCATCTATTCGGTCAATGTTAGAAGACTTGTAAATAGCAGAGTTTGGAAAAAATATTGTTTTTAAAATGTCTTACATTGCCATTTTTTTTATTTATTTTTTTTGGACAGTAAAATCATTAGCCTAGCATATCTGAGGAATGTTTTGAATAAGTTATTTTATAGTTGCAGTCCTTGAAAAATTATTTTTCTAACTTATTCACTTATTTATTTATATATATTTAACCTATAATTTTTACACTAAGTATTTTTTTTGCCACTGCTGGGTAAATGCATGAGTTATATTCAGTAAAAAATATTTAAGCATTAATAATAATAATAATTCTATATATGTATATCTTGCGGCTATTTGTCTCATTTGTATTAAAATTCAATTGTCCAGTTGCATGCGGTAGCGGTTACCAGATGTGTTTGATTTCACCACAAAAGAAATAGACAAAACCTTTTTTGAAAGACTTTTGTGTCAGAATTGCTAAAATCTTACAAATGGTCCATCTTCTAGTCCATCTTACAAAGATGTTAAGAAAAACTTTTAACGATCTTTGCCAGAATTATCCCGATAATGTCAAAACTTTGTGGAAAATTTTTTATATAGAGTTTAATGTCATGGGAAATAGATTTTAGTATAAGACTAGGTTTATACTGTATACACTGGCTAGACGTTGGCAACATTCTTATTATAAAAGGCAAATACGTATTATATGTTAGCAAAAAAAAAAAGACAATGTCTAATTGCAGTCAGTGTAGATCCAAAGTTACTTCCTTTGATTACTGAAATGGGGTTTGAGCTGCTGCTCTTCACGGTTCAATAATAGCTGAAGTTTATCCTTGTGGAATTGAGACTGTGAAACTTCTTTAATTGTAAATACTTATCTCTAATTTCTGTAAAATAAATCCAGAAAATAACTTATTGAGCTGTCAAAATTTAGAAAACTTTGCACATAAAGAAAATATTTTAATATGTCAAAATTAACCGGTAGATATTGTGAACTTTCGAAAAGCAACACTGGGTGTGCTGCATTGGTTATACAACACTGGATGTCTCTTGAGTGCAGTCGATAACTTTTTTTATTGACCGCAAAATTTGCTTCAAAAATCATTTCAATTGCTGGCGGTTGACGACGTTTCTCTTTTGGGATTCTTGTAGAATATCGGAAATCTGATAAGTAGAACTATATAAAAAGGTAAGAAAAGTAGGCTTTTACGAAAAATACATGAAATTAATAAAATTTAATTAAATTTGTCAATTTTATTTATTGCCAGTATTAGTTACGAAAAGTGTAGCAGATTTTATTGTGAAGTTTTGTGCTTCTCTGAAATAAATTTTGGAATCAACGATCTTCTTTAATTTAGAAATGAGAACTTTCGTGAATGCTTGCAACTTGCTTGGGTATTTCTGCGGTATGAAGCGCTTGATCGCCATTGTCATTACCGCTGCGTTTATGTATATGTTGATGACGGTGCGGTATGAAATGCTTCGGCAAAGGTATGAAGAACAAATAGTGGATCTGAATAACACTAATCTCTATAGCTTCAAAAACAAGTTGAAGTTGCGCCAAAGCGGTGACTATTGGATACTCCATAATTACATATTGCCTGAGAAGCAATTTGTTGGTAATGAGAGTGTGACACTTAACACGCATGGCACGCACAAGAGTTTAAAAGGATTACATTCGCTGGTGAAGCGGTGAGAAGTCATAATTTGTAGTATATCGTTGTTTCTATTATTCTGTTATTAATTCTTTGCAGTTGGTCTGGACCGGTCACTATTACAATTTTTGCTACCGATGATGATTTTTTGCAAATTTTGTATGATATACAGTTCTTACGTGGTTGCACTTACATGAAACGTCTGATCAATTCTTTGGTTACTTTCAACTTCGTATTTCATGCAAAATATTTGCCCAAAAAAATACCAATATCCAATGTTTACGCTTACAAAGGCCTTATAAACTGCTTAGTTTCACCTGGGTATTTGAATGACACCTTAATCAATATGACGCATCCGCTATCTAAGCCTATTCGGTATCCATTGAATCTAATGCGCAATGTGGGCCGTTACTCAATTTATACGTACTACCAGCTCTCTCTTGATATGAACATGTATACCTCTCCATATTTTGCACAACACTTTTTACGCTTTGTTTCATCAATAAAATTAAGTCGCCCATACGAAAGGTGAGGTAATCTATTTCGTAGTATAGATTGTTTGATGGTATATTTCCCCGTTGTATTTGCAGCGTGTTTTGTGTGCCCAGTTTCAACAACAGGATGAACTACTGCATGCCTAATTCGGCGCATGAATTAAAACGTCAATTGGTTAAGAACTACTCAAACATTTTTAATATCAGGCCAGATGTGTGGGAAGATGAATTTCATTTTCTTGGATCCTGGTTAAATGTCACTTCTCCCCGATTGCAATCTTTTCTACTTACTGGGTACCATAGTAAATGGCAGCCGTATTATGTGAGCATTAATGACATGGAACCGCTGGCCGACGAGCGCTTCATGTATAACACCTTGTTCGATAGATCGATGCAGGTAAGCACTGCAATTAAGTAATTATGATCAAAAGCCATAAGAGAAAGTAAATCTGTTAAATAATAAGGCATTAAAAAAATTAAGTGTGATAGTGTAAATAAGAATAGATACTAGACATAATATTGTAGAAACCTTGATAGTTCTACTGTTGTCGGGTAAATCTGTTTGGGTTGCCATATTTGTGAATGATGGTATTGAGTTGGGAACGAAAAGTATACATGTTCGTCACCGTATGACACATAAAGTTGTCCACTGCTGAAATCACACTAATTAAATAAATCTTTTTCTATTGTTCTTTTTACAAACGGACATGTAAATTTTGCCATTCAATTCCACCTTAATAATATCACAATTTATTTTGTGAGTACTATCTTATTTCTTTAGATAGTACATTTTCATTACATATTCATAATTCATTTTCAGATTTGTTATTAAATTCTTCGATAATATTTTAAGAATTACAATTACTCTTAACATTTTGTATATCTACACTAGAATCTTTGTTACTTAAATCTAATGTTTATATTTCTTTATCATATTGTGAAGGCTCAACGTTTGTACTCAGCTTGTCTGTATTTGAACATGATGGACTGCAACTTCAATCGTCTTGAACAGCTATTGAACTGTTGTGTGCAACCAGATTTGCTCCTGCCCCTGTTTTTATCTGATCCAGATGTCTCTTAATGACTCTGTTGTTAGACATAATTCAACAATATGAACGTGGATCTATTTTGTCTTTGATTATTGCAGGAATAGTCACGTACATATACATACATTTTGACCTATATTTCAAATTATTCATTTCTCTTCCCTCTGTAATTTGAAATACTCTTTCTGTGCTTGTGAATAATTCTATCCCTAACAAGAGGAGGTTTTATAAGATCAAATCGGTTTCTTATCGATCTTTCCAGAAAAATTTGTGCTGGGATCATCTGTTGTGCAATGCTTAGTATTACGATAATCCATTAAAAATCAGTTTAATGATATTTCAAAGTTTTCATTATTTGTACCATTGTGGCATAATGTGGCATAGAGAGATTTTTTTAAACTTTTAATAAAATGTTCTGCTTGGCCATTAGGAGGAGCCAAAATGTGATTAATTTTGTTGTTATTAACAAATTTTTAAACTCTTCGGAGACAAATTGTCTGCCATTACCACTAACTATGGTTTCGGCAATACCAAAACGTGAAAAAATGTCTCTTAACTTAGTGATTACAAAATTAGATATGATATTCTTTGTTTTGAAAACTCGACCCGTTTTGAATAAGAGTCTATTATGACAAAAAGATAAAAGCTCTTAATTGGACCCGCAAAGTCAATATGAATTCTTTGCCAAATAGTATTCGTTACCATGATATTAATTGGCTTTTTTTCCGGATTTGGCTATATATATTGTTACTTAACTTAATTATTTATAACTCATAAATAGCTGACTGTAGACTTATACTGACTGTAATCTCATGTAGACGTTTATAACCGCAAATGCTTTTAAAAATTTTATAATTTCTATATATATTTTATATATTATAATTTCTTAAGATTCTTATATATATAATTTATTTGTTTTACTCTAATAACATATGGGATTTATTTTCTTTAGATCGATTTTAATTTAATTTTAATTTAAAATTCTATATTATATACAGATCAAAATCCGTGGACTATATTTATTTAATTTATTATTATTATATTTGTTATTTAATTAATTAATTTATAATGAGTTGATGTTTTATTATACCTTTGTTATCTTTTAACCATAATGGGAAAAATCATATATGCTTGAAATATTTATTATTATAGTACTATTACTAGTATTATATTATTATATGTTACATGTTATATATTATATGTTATATATTATATATTATTATTATTATATTATTACTATTATTATTATACTGATTTATTATCATTATCATTATCATTATTTAGTTTTTATTATTATTATTATATTATTCTATTAATGTATTATTATTATATTATTATTACTATTAATATATTATAATCATTATTAATATCATTTTTTTATATTTATTTATTTATTAATATCCCTGTCTCTGTATAGATTTTAGGTTTATTTGTTACGACTTAGATTTGGAACTTTTTTATATCTTGAAGGGTTTATTCCATAAACAGATAATGACTCATAGTTGTACGTATTTATCAAAATGTGTTAAAGCACTAATTCCGGAGCTCGACAATTTAAAGACTCTCTGCAAGTTTTACATAAGCAAGCAAGAATCTATTATATATAATCTTATATATATATTTCTTCTGTACGTGTGTTGACAGTGAACTCCTCCTAAACGGCTGAACCGATTTTGATGAAATTTTTTGTGTGTGTTCAAGTGGATTGAAGGAAGGTTTAGATTCACAATTTGGCCCACTGGATAATGTCTTTTTAATTAATTTTTTATTTTTTGGTATCCATGTACATTTATATTAGAAATTTAAAATTTATTCATGCTTACTTTGATTTGTTTAAAAAGTTTAAAATTTTTAAAATGAATCGTAAAACTGCCGTTGCATAGCTTAAATGCTTTTAAATTCCGCAGTATAATTATAGGTGAGCCAATTTTTAATCTTAAGTTATGTGGTGGTATTCCTGGAAACTCCAGCGAATTCAAAAATTCAACAGGATAGTTGAACGATTCATTTTAGAGTTTAAACTTTTTAAACAAATCAAAGTAAGCATGAATAACTTTTAAATGTCTAATATAAATGTATTTGGACACCAAAAAACTGTATAATAATTAAAAAAACGTTATCCAGTAGACCAAATTGTGAATCTAAACCATCCTTGAATTCATATGAACACACACAAAAAAGAAGAATTATATATATAAAGATATAAATAACGTACAAAAAACAATGCCACGTCTTCGTGGACGAGGAGGAAATATTGGTCGACGGAATCGGAATTCACGATTACTCCAGAACCGTCTGTTAAATAGATCGGCAGAAAACAATGAAAATGTAAGAAACCAGGATACAATCACACGTACTAATGAAAGTCAAGAGCAACGTAACGAACGCCTTCGAGGTAATGCATTGAGACAAAGACTGGCCCGTCAACGAGTCTCCGACACATTCAGAACACGTGAACAACAGCGTTTGCCAGTGTATGAGTCGGATATCGACTATTAATCACATTTAGGAATTGTAATCGGTGCTATGAACAAACAGTGCCAACACTGTAATGCACTCAAATACAAAGGTGAATCGGCCGATTTCTGCGGCGCATCTGGAAAAGTTGTATTGCAACCATTGAATTCGCCGCCAGAACCATTGAAAGCACTATTGGCTGGACATCTCAATCTAAATTGTTTTTTCGTAAAATTCGCAAATTCAATTCGTGCTTTCAAGTGACATCATTTGGAACAACAAAAATCGTTTAGAATGAGCATGGTCGCAATTTTCAATCAACGTTTAAGATTCGGGGCCAAGTGTATCACCAAATTGGTTCTTTAATGCCGATGCCCAACAACGATCCCAAATTTCTGCAAATCTACTTCATGGGTGATGAGAAGCACTACATATTCATTTATAATATTTGTAACATAAGTAATGCATGTGGACTTTTTGTAGATCAAAAGAAAAAATCAATTCAAAATAATTTTCGCATTATAATGCTAAAGGTTAAGTTGAATAACAACAAATATTATAACACAACTGAGCCAGAAAAATTAATTGCAAGGGGAAACAACGTTCGCCGGGTCAGCTAGTATATTTATATTATAATATATTTGCGATTTTTATGATTTAAAAATCTCTTTAATATATTTCTATATTTTCGAAAAATTGGTTTCCAATATATATATATATTTATATATATATATTATATATATTATAATATATATTATATATATATATATATATATATATATATATATGTACATATAAAAGTTATATATTAATAAAGATTACAGAAAAACTGTGGGTGATAGATAAAAACATAGTCTGTTAGGCTTACAAGCACAGTGAGAGTATACCATCACAGCATCTAGAACATGTAGGCGGCAATGCAGTGCTAACATTTCCTTGTAGTGAACTGATTTATAAGCTATAAGTTATGCTAATACTTATAGTTTGTTTCGCTCAGGAAGCAAAAAATATAGATGCGATGTTTCTATTTGAAATTCTCTTAGCGATATTTTTTATATCTAAAAGCTGATTTTGCCAATGATATTTAGGATATATTTTTTTATATTTAGGAACATATTTTCTTTTTCAGTGAAAAGATCTATGTTGGTATACAGTTGTTAATTGAATAGATTTATTATTATGTTGAGGCTAGTTAAGTCAGTGCACCTGAGCACTTTTACTCTTTATTAACTGCAAGGTTTCTTCAAAACCCCTCTTTGCGCCTTGACTGGATTATTGTTTATCACTGATTCAGACTAAGCAATAATTGACCTCAGATCTGCACACCTCCTCGAGGAGCCTGTAACCATTCTGAGATTTGATAACGCGGTGTTGGTAAGTCTGTCAGATTTCGCAAATAATTTCAGGGAATAGATTTATAATTAATTTAATTTGACTTGAAAAGAATTGTAATTCTTTCTCTGTATTTTCGGAATGTTAAAACAAATAAAATAAACCAAAACAGCAAAAAAAGAAACGTAAAAAAAAATAGGAAATTGCAAAAAATGGAAGAGTAATTTAGAGAAATTGGAACTCACTTAGTGTATTAGGTCTATGGCGACAAGAGAACTTTGTTTTAAGGATATTAATTTATTTACTTAGTCATCTGATTCCTGTCCTCAAATTATTCCATGTTTGCATATTCTGGACTTTACAGTCGGACTGCTAACCGAATACAACTCACTCTACGTCAGCGGAAGACGTATGTTCCAAAAAGAAGCTCCGAGGCATACATTATTATTAGTAATTATTCTTATATATCATATTTATATAATATATTAGTTAAAATGAAACCAACAACTAATAAGTAAATAGCCCAAAAATTAAGAAAAATTGGAAAAGAAATATGGCGTATCGACAATTTTTTTAATAATTATTTAATGTGTATATGTTATGTACTTTTATACAAAGAAAAGGAAAAATGAAAATATATTAGATAATTTAGATGAAGGTTTGAAGGTGAGTATAGCCGGATCCTTTGTAGAGAATAGTTCGACGTTTTTGGCTTAAAAGTAACCTAATATACCAAAATATAGAATTTATAAAAAAACACAACAAAATATTATTAACAAAAAGTTTTGGTTTTTGCGTCATGATATATAGTCTGAGGTAAGAGCCCCCATAGACTAGTTTAAAAAAATTGTTAAAAATTTTATAGACAAGATTTAAGAACCTATTTTCCGTAACATATGTCATCTTACTGTAGCAGGGATTAAGATTTTCATTATTATAAAAAATTGCTTTTTCGTTCGTGTAGGTAAGAGACATCTATATTTCTCTAAATTACTTTTGTTTTTGTTATTATTTTAACTTTTATTTTTATTTTGATTCTTGTTGTACAGATTGATTTAATTAACTATTTAAACTATGAGTTTGTTATCATGAGTGGTGGATATTTTATTCATCGTGGTGAGATTATTGAGGAAAGCAAACTGAAGACCAAACACTCTATCAATGTGCGAGCAAAAATTAATGCCATTTATCGTCGACAGAACTACGTCTTGTATAAAGATGGCAAATGAGGAGGAAAGCAGAAAGAATTTCAATTACCTTTAATTTTTTATTTATTTTAATTTTATATTGTTACATCTATTCAATCTATATTATTATTACTGAAGACCAAACAGTCTTTTAATGTTAATGTGTGAACAAAAATCACATATTATATAGAGATGAAAATTGAGGAGGAAAGAACTTCAATCATCTCTATTTCTTCAATTTATTTTAAATTTAGAGATCACATGTAATACATATATATTACTACTGCAGATCAAACAGTCTATTAATGTGCGAACAAAAATAAAAAATTACAATTGAGGAGGGAAGTAGAAAGAACTTCAATTAAAAATTTGTTTTCTCGAATTTACTTAAAGCTTAATGATTATATTTATTACATATGTTTTATTTTTTTTGTAATTAATATTGTAAAAATATTTCCAATAAAAAACTAAATAAATGTATATATGTTGATCCATTTTTCGAGTCAGCGCAACTGGGCACTTTTACTCTTTGATAGCTGGGGTATTACAGCAGTATATCAGTACAGTATATATATACTTTTTCAGTTGGAACTACTCTCTCAGATTTTGAACTCTTTGAATGAAACTTTACACACATACTTTTCGGGAGCGGACCCTGTTCACCATTTGATTTGAATGAAATTGAACGTCTATTTCTTGTAGCTGTGATATAAACTTAATAATCGGATATAAGGTTTCTCCGTTTTTAATAAAGGTATTCAAATGGAATTTGGTGTATACAGTACTCATATTTGCAAAAGACAACGTACAAAATTATTTTCAAATGGATTTAAAACTAGATATAGCTTCCATATAAACTCTCGATTAAGACACATATTTTTCTTAGAAAAACTTTTTTAATTTATAAATAGGTTTAATATTTTATTTGAAGTACATACATATTATGTACTTTAAATTTAAAATTTACGTATCTTTTATAAAATGCAATATGGAGTTATTCCAACAAAAAACGTTTCGTCCCACTTTTGAGAATTTATTAAAAATAAATACAATGAATACAAAAATTTATAATGGGGTCCCCTAAATTCGGGGGCCCGAAAGCGTTGGTTCCAGTTGCTTCCCTGTAGTTACGCCACTGTATTACAGGGTTCCACCCATCTCATTGATTAATTTATGTATTGCCTATAAGCTTCATGATTATTCAGTGATTGATCTAAGATCTGCGTACCTCCCCGTGCGGAGAGTGATCACTCTAAGATTAGATAGTGGTAAGTAGGATAGCCTGTCAATTTTCGCAAATAACTTCAGGGCTCTGTCCCTTATGTATTTTTTGATCGGGTCTATTCTAAGGTCTCTTAATAAATGTATTTTAAGTGAAATTAGTTGTGAAAAAATATTTAAGGGTAAGACTATAAGATTATTAATAAATTACTATTAAATTACTAAATTACTATTTATTATTATAATTTTTTTTTTTTTGGACAGTAGGTGGACGCATGGGAAGCCACCGTGTGAAACTTTAACCCACTAAACCACCTCTTAGGAATGAATGGAGAAGATTTTCACAGCATTGTGAAAACTTCATTCCAGTAATCAGGGGAGAGAGGAAAAAAAAATAAACTTAGTACCTAGCGAGCTATATTTATCTAAGCCAGAAAGCAAGGGCATATATTAGGGAAACTGGGTTATAGAGAAGGGGTGGAGTTAGAGTAGATGAGCAGGGGTGAGGTTAGCGGTAAACATTGTGGTTGGGGTCACGAAGGCCGTGGTTATATAGGGGAATGGAGTGGAGGTTACGGTCCCACGCATCGAAGTAGTGGATCAGGTATTGGGGAGGCTTAAAGCGCAAGGTTAGAACAAGATTTTCAGGGAGGGTTATAGAAATAGAGACATCAGGGAGGACAGCATGGAGCCGGGTGAGATACATACGGGCGAGTGTCAAAAGGTACTCGTCAATGTGAGTGATCTTGGCATTGTCGTAAAGGACAGAGATGAAGAAATGCTTGCCGTCAGGCTTGTGCATATATTTGGTGCAATCCCGAAGAAGTTTCCGCTCAATCAGGTGGATTCTTTTCATTTTGGCGGAAGAGATGGCAGACCAAATGGAGAACGCGTAGGTGAGTAAGGGGCGAATAAGTTGCTTATAGCAAAGCAGCTTTACTTTGCAGCTCAGCTGGTTGTGTCTTCAGAGTGCGTTTTTGAATTAAATATGTCTAAAACGGACGTCAAGGATGGCATAATCAAAGTGGGAGAAAAAATTATGTTGCGGGGAAAAAACAATGCCGAGATATTTCAGCTTGGGAACTAGCTGGATGGGAGTCTGAGCTCGATGTCAGAGATATCAAAACCTCTGGTGCGATCACGCTGCTGATTTAGAAAGGCTATAGCAGAGATCTTGGTGGAGTTGAGATTAATTATCCACCTGGCCTAGTAGTCAAAAAGGGATCCAAGGTGGGCATTAATTTCATCGGAAATGCGGGTTTAGACGAGCGTATAAAGACTAGACAGTCCCGGCGAAGCATACTTGCTGCTATAGGGATGTCTGCTATAAACAAGTTCAAAAGGAAGGGACCAAGAATCGAGCCCTGAGGGACACCGGCGTCAATGGGGAAGTTAAGGGAAAAAGAGGAACCGACTTGGACTTGAAAAGTTCTATGAGAAAAAAAATTGTGAAAAGTTCTATGAGAAAAAAAAGAAGGACTTCATCTTGCTGGCTTTGAAAATTTCAAAGAGCTTGCTTAAGAATTAAGAAGGGAGATGGGTCGATAGCTGAAGGGTTCGCCACTCTTGGCAATGGGATAAGCTATAGCCTTCCTTCATGGCTGGAGAAAGCAACCAGTGTTGTACGCATTGTTGAAGAGCATGAAGAGCACTTTTGAAAGAAGAGAGGTGAGAAACGCTGCATGTGGTAGAAAGACACGCAGTCAGTGCCAGATGACTTTTTGAGCGCTTTGAGCCGAAGCATGTCAGAGAGGTTTGACGGGTGAGGAACCCTTAGGTGTCTTCAACATTAATGCAGTGGGCTGGAAAGTGCGAGGAGCAAGTGACAATGCATTCATTAAAAGCATTGAAAAGCCCATGGACTCCGGAGTTCTTAGTGGAAATAAAGTGGTGCTCGCGATATACGCCAATCGTAAGACAGTGATTATTTACAAAGATTACCAAAAACATTGGCCTTATCAAGGTCATTATACGCTGTGGTGTTGCAATAATAAAGGTCAGAGATGGACCTATTGGATTCACAGATTTGCCTGATTGTACTGAAGACGTCAGATCAGCACTGGGTGACCTGAAGTTTGGCACTAAAGGAATTGAACCTGACTTGGTTGACTCCCTGGGCAATTACGGTGTCCAGGTTCTTGAGAATAGACGATAAGTTCTGCGGCGAAGCGATTTCCTCAGTACAATGAGGTGGAGTGTGTAAACATCAGGTGGAACTTGATAAAATTTTCGAACACGCACCTTCGGAACACGCTCATCAATTGTGGAGGCGAAAAAGCTTTCAAGAGTATCGGTAGCAAAATCGATCTCCGTAGAAGTCATGTTTCTGTGTTCGGGGGTGCTCAGCTGATGTTTTAAAAGGTATTATTACTCTTACTTAATATAAATACAAACATAGATGTAACTATAAATATATATTAATACAAATATATTTACAGATATAAATACAATTAAAATATAAATGTGAATACAATTATAAATATAAATACAAATGAATAAAGTATTCGTGTTGCTGTAAAGCTAAACTTTCTTTGTATGGTGACAAAGAAGCTTTATTAAAATTTAGAGGGGTTTTGAATAGCAAAGAAAGAAATAAAGGACAAACACAAAAGTTTATTTTAATTTTATTGAAGTTTGGCTGACCTAACAACGCTGTTTCGAGTATTGCCAAGTACTCTTCATCAGTAGTCAAAACCCTTAAATTTTAATAAAGCTTCTTTTTAATGACATTATTAAATTTGGTTTTTACCCAACAGAGTGGAAAACATCCATGACTATTATGATTCATGAATCGGGTAAAGATCCCACGCTTGCCGCTTCATACAGTTCAACAAGCTTATTGCCATGTCTTTCTAAACTCTTTGAAAGAGCAGCACTTTTAAAGCTGAAACCTTTCCTTGACAATAGTAACCTAATACCCTCCCACCAGTTTCGTTTTAGGAAAAAACATGGAACAATTGAGCAAGTGAATCGTATAACGAATAAAATAAGACACGCATTTGAGCTCAGAGAATATTGTTCCGCGGTATTCCTCGATGTTAAACAACCATTTGACAAAGTATGGTATAATGGATTCCTATATAAGATACGCTGTTCATTACCTTCAAATGCCCACTCAGTTTTAGAATCGTATCTGCATAACAGAAGCTTTAAACTTAAATGTAAATCATATACTTCTAATAATTTCCCAATAGGAGCTGGCGTTCCACAAGGAAGTGTTCTTGGCCCTATATTGTATGTACTTTACACATCTGATATCCCAATAAGTATCTCAGTCGTCACCACAACGTTTGCAGATGATACGGAAATTATATGTCGAAACAAAAAAGTTGTGCTACCTTCAAACCAACTTCAATCTCACTTATTTCTGGTGTAGAAATAGTTGGTAAAATGGCGAATTAATATTAATAAACTAAAATATAAACACGTAATTTTTACTTTAAATTGGAGTACATTTCCAACAATTTCTCTTAATAGCATTCCCATACCTCAATCAGATAATATAACATACTTAGGTATTCACCTAAATAGGCGATTAATTTGGCACAAGCACATTGAAGCCAAAAAAATACAAAAGAAGCTCCAAGCCTCTAAGTTGCACTGGTTCATTAGTAACAGATAGTCCTTATGCCTAGAGTATAAAGTACTCCTATATAACAGCATCATAAAACCAATATGGACTTATGGTATCCAGCTATTCGGTAATGCTAATGCTTCATATATTGAAATTATCCAAAGAGCTCAGTGAAAAATACTGAGAACCATCACAGGAGTCACATGATATATTAGGAATGAAAATATCCACCGAGATCTACAAATTCCCTTACTTAAAGCCGAATTTGACAATACGCGAAAAAACTATAAAAAAAGGCTGACAGAACATGTTAACCCCTTAGCGAGGAAACTCGCACTTCAAACCACTACTTCCCGTTCCCGCCTTAAAAGAGCTGACCTTCCAAGCATAAATTAAATTTCAATAGATTCAAGAAAATACCCCTCTCTTATTTTTAGTAATCTCATAAAGTTGATTTGATTTCTTAATAATCCACCTCACACTCATTCCAATGAAATTCAACCCACCAATCTAAGTGAGGTCCGTAATATAAGGTTTTATGCAAATTTAAAAAGAATCAATATCTCACAACGAACACGTGGCTTAGCATGAAGACCTCGACTTCACTGTATGACTACTATTTATTATGTATTATTCCTCGCATTATGTATGTATCCTATGTGCACGAGAATCTTAATAATAATAAGTAATACAAGTTTAGTGTAGTATCTTTAATTGATACTACAAATACCACAGAAATCAGTTTCAACTACTATAGTTCTTATTGTTTGCGAGTCAACGATGCCGAAGCCGACATATTTACTGTCGCTCTTATCTATAGTTACAGTTGTACCTCGTGCCATTTCATTGTAAATGACCGAGTTTGATAGATTCACTTTGCTTGCAAACGATGGAACTTCAATGATAGTAAACGGTTGTCGAAGATAAGTATGAAGACCAAGATATCCTTTACTTTTTATTTTTTAGTATGTTATGAGGGTTAATGCTTTGTGTTTTTCTTACCCGAGTTTTTCCGAGTTTTTCAGTTTATATAGCACAGACGTATTTGTAGTCATATTTACCTAGTATTAGTATGATTGAACTACTTGTTTTAATCTTATTTTAGTAATAGGGGTATTATATATACAAAAACTCTCATCGAGTTTTGACTGATTCCTACGACTCGCTGCAGTTACTGATAAACCAAAAGTCGGTTATGCTTTGCTGGCTATACGGTCAGAATGTGATAACCAATTACAGAAAATGTAATTGAGATTCCTGGCAGGTTACCTTATAAGCGATTAAACATACGTTATTATCTATTTGAGATTAATTTGTTTGATATGATAGAGTTTTTTTTTGCCTGGCAGGAGACGTGATTTCTAATTATATTCCTTACCAGGAGCTCTCAATCGTGCCCGGTATTGACCTGCATTAAAAAGACTTAATAATTTCCCTTCAGTTATGGTCAGTTAGTAGCATAAAGCATCTACCGTGGTTGCAGTGGTCAGCTTCTATGGAAGTTTAGAACAATGTAGAATAAGATTTTACATACAATGTACTAATTTAGCGTTCAAATAATTTTAAGTATAAATTTAGTTTCAGTTTCTTTTGAACTATACGTGTTAGTATAACTACTCGTATTTGCGTTTTAGTGGTACTGACATAATAATTTCTTTGTTTTTATTTAAGCTTTATTTTTTAATATTCACAATTTTCTGTCGCTTGATTCTTTCTAATTTATTTTAGAATGCATATTGCATACCCTAAGAATCTGTGATGACACTACGTTTTGCGGGCTTCCCGCCCAATTCGTTCCATTGCCAGAAATTATAATTTACCGACGAATTGTAATCTTCTGCATAATTATTCTGTTGATATTCACTTGGGTGTTGATCTTGGCGCGAAACTTGATTGAGTTTTGCTCGTTGCAAGTTGCTAATAATTGGTAAACCTTCGTAATTGGCTCTCTTCTTGCTTATTGGTATAACCTTTATGATCTCCTGAGGAGATTTTGATTTTGTTTGCTTTTGCTTTAGTTCATCAATATCGTTGTAATTTGGTGTTACCAAGACACGAATATTTTCAATAGCGCCATACACATTTTGATAGCCTTCTACATTGTTACCAGATGGAAGTATGTATGGATGAATTGGATCATCGCCATAGAGCCTCCTATAACGTTCACTATTGACCAGACTAAAAATTTGAAAAAGTGCTACAGATGCTGCCCAATTATAAGCCAAAAACACTGCGAACAAAGCATGGGAAGATTATTTACACCTATTAATTCACCTAAAAATATATATTTTAGTGTACATATTCACTTACATATTATGAATCCACCTAAAAGTGTAAAAGCTATTAATACTCCCAGATTGATGACTTTTTTCAATATAATCATTAAAACAATATGCCAGGTCAAACAGTAAATCACACGTATGAGTTCCGATACTATAAAAGGGGCTAAAAACCATTTAAGTAGCTAAGTTCAAAATAAGAAATAATTGCAACTTTTTGGAATTAAATAGACTATAGGTTATTACCCTGAAGGATCCATAAATTGCTAGTCCACAAGTTGCCATGTGTGAAAAGAAATATATGCTAAATATGAGCACAAAATCATTTGGATCTGCAAAAATATATAATATGTTATATGTTAATAAATATAAATATAAACATTCGGTTAGGTTTTAAGCTTAATTAATGAAAACAAAGTATTCTGTTTTTTATTTTTAACGCAATATTAGGCCTTTTCGGTGGCTCGCAAGTATGGCAAAAAGCAGCAAGTTGCTGGCCTATACTGGCCACACATTTCGGTCAGTGTTATCAACGTTGACGCACAAGCGAATTGTTATGAATCTTCATTGGAAACTCCAACGAATATTGCAATTATATGTCAGAAAACATACGTATGTAAACAAAAATTCAAACAAAATTCAAAAATTTCATAAATTTGAAAATTGGAAAAAAAGAAAAAATTTCAGCGTTTTGATACTTCCAAGATTGTTACCATTCCTCTTAATTCTGTATTCGTTTTAATTTTCAATCTACATTAATTATTTATTTTTATACAAAATATAATTTACTTGGAGATTAACTGAAATTGAAGCAAGCAAGACAGCAGTGTTTGAATAGAACATACTCAGAAAAATTGTTGGTCCCGTGAAAGAAAACGGGATGTGTCGCATAAGATACAACCACGAGCTACAACGGCTAGCTAAAGGTGATATAATCAACAAATTTACGAAAAAGCAGCGATTAAGATGGATTGGACATGTGATAAGAATGCCGGTTATGAGAGCACAACTTAAGATTTATGAGAACGAAGTAGGAACCGGCGGAAGAAGAGGGCGACCAAGAAAAGGATGGGAAGACAGTGTGTTACAGGACTTAGAAATAATAAATATAAGAAATAGGAAAAGAAAACCAAAAAACAAAGAAGAATAGAAGACTGTTGTTAAACAGGCTTAGGTCCTACATGGACTGTATAGTCACGCATGATGACGATGATGATGATAATTTGTTCGATTTATGTGCACATATGCAAGAATTGCTATTGGTCAAAACATAACACATGACAGATTGTAATAGTGATGCCAATGTCTCGCTCAGCGAATATAAGCCAGCATGCATTTTTTGCCTATTATTGCATAACGGAGTGATTTTTTTACTCTAGATTTACTCTACTCAAATAACATTCACTTTTTAGTTTAATTGAAAATTGAATAATATTAGATATAATTTTAGTTATTGATTTCTCACTATGACGATAAAAACTTTATTTAATTGTCATTACCATATTCTCAACAGCTATTTTTGACTCAGCTCTTTTCAGCCGACTTAGCCTGCATTTTAAAAAACAAATTATTCAAGTTAACCAGTACGTATAACTAGTTAAAAATGGAGCTAATAACAATGACATAAAATCTTCCATAAAAAATCCCATCGGAAATTTATTAGTGTGACACAAAAATTGTAAGTATGAAATGCGTTACTTACAGATACTGGCTAACAGACAGGCAGCTATAATGGCACACGTATCCTACCAGGTAACATCCAAACTGGTATTGGAGTGCATTGACAAGCTGAACACACTCGGCTGGAACAATCAGGTGCATCTAACATGGATTCCGGTACAGGCTAGTATCCAAGGCAATGAAATGACAGACAAACTTACAAGAAGAGGCGAAGCGTCACGAATGATAAGCCAAGAAGCTTTCTGCGGTTTAAGCGAAGGAACTCTATCCATTCTTATGAATAGTGCAGATAAAAAGAACTCTATTGGGAAAGGTTACCAAAACTTTCACAATCTAAAATACTGTTAGGGACTTACAACCAGAAACGCTTTAAATATTGCATAGCACAATCAAAAAATAACCTAAGACTAATACGGGATTACTGACCGGTCACTATAGATTGAATATTCACCTATCGAAGTCAGGAATTTAATCCAACTCAGACTGCAGATACTGTAGAGAAGAGAGAGAATTCATACCATGTGCTTCGGGAGTGCCAGGCACTGATGCACAAGCGAAAGAAACACCTAGGAGGATATTTCATGAATCATAAGGATTCAAGACTAGGAAAGATAGGCTGTATTCTGTCTTTCACTACAGTAATTAGACTTGGAGAAACACTCTAACCCGTCTAAGGGGCACAATAGATCTTTTAGCTTGCAATCCTTTCTTCTTAATAATAACAATACTTACAGATAAAAAAAACTGACATCTGTGTTTATAAATGTCATACTTGATTTTGATGCATAACCACATAACACATTAAGGTAGAAAAAAGTTATATTATAGGTTAGTCTCTGATTACATCTCTTCAGTGATACTGAATGAAGCTTATTTACTATAAATGGTCGAAGAAAGTAATGCTTCTAGTGAGAAACAAAATATGCAGTTAAACAACGTCAAGGAATTTGAGATTGGAATTGTTGAAAAATCTGTGGTTGGGACTGTTAGTCAAGAAATGACCTCAAAATTAAAACTGAAATCCATCAATGAAAACTTGGTCGTTTAGAGGGCGATATACAAAAAAACTAACGCATTGAATCGGCAAAAGTGGAAATACCATCGCTTAGAGCATTTCTAGTTCCGAGTAACTAAATATGCGCTAAGAAAGCAGAAACTCAATTGCGTTCAATATATATTGGCAACATATATTTTGGTGCAATAGCAGAAGATATGAAGAGACACTTTTTAAATTGTGGTACTATATAAAAGGTAACAATATTGTGCAATAAAAAAATAAAATATAATAAAATTGATGGAATGGTTTTATTGATGGCGCTTATTTTTTGATAAAAGGAATAAAGTTTTGAGTCCTAGTCTGTTACGTGTCCAGCCTTTTGTATTGGATTCGAAAGATCATACTTTGTTTGATTGCCCTATATACCCCTAAGTACGAAGTCACCATCTTAGTTTCTTACTTTCAGTCTTCAGAGACAACATATGTATCATAGATACATATACATATATATTTTCCCACTATTCACAAATTTTCTTTATCGCTTATCTTTTAAATCTAGCTATAAGTAAACACCCAACCACCTTCCGTTACAACTTTAAGTTTATAAGCAGAAGTAAATACATGTTAAATTGTATTGGAAAATAATATTTTTTTCAATAAATTGAAAAGAATTACTACAAGACTCAAAAACTCTTGGTAGTCGCCTGTATCTAATACTATCTAATAAAATTAGCGGGTCTCAGCAATTGTTGAAGAAGATTTTACTTCTTATGTCAAGTCTATACTATGCCAATAATATAAGCGAAGAACGGGATAACACTGTTCTTTTGATTTTCTATCTGGTTCGTTGCAGTAGTATTGTGTATGACCAATTCCAAACCATTTATAGAATCTTTGTGGATTTCTCGAAGTCTCATTTTTGCTATAGTGAAACCAATCTTAATTTTTCCAATTATTAACAGTTCACGTTTACTGAAGTTAGGGTGACATATGCTTGAACCTGTTTCATTTGATATAGTAATGTGTTGATTTCGTCGCGGGAACTTAATAGTTTCCTTACTGTTTCTGTAACTTCTTTTTTGTCAGTTTGACAGATTCCTTTAAGACGCCCTCGATTTCTTCGAACAGTTCAGGCTTCACTTTTCCTCCTTTGATAATTTGACTAAAAGTGATCCTGTCTTTGTTTTTCTTATTCTGTGAACTTTTACGTGAGCATAAAACTGGATATTGGTACGTAGATGCTTTAGTACTTCAACACATGAGTTTTCTTCTGTTGGCTGGTTATAACAGTATCAAGCTTTGGCTTAGGCACTCTTGTTTTCATTTTTGGCCTTTGGTCATCATTTTTCCCCTTTGTGGATCTTCTATTATATGTGATTTCTCGTTTGATTTCTTGTTTAGTACTTTTTTCGTTCTTACGACTTTCTACTTTTCTGTTGGATTTTCGCAGAGTGTTTTCGTATGGGTTTGTTTCACAGGGTTTGTCGCCGCTCGCTTCTGTCTTTGCGCGTTAGGTGTTTCAATCACTCTGCTTTTGGTAAACGCGCACTACCTGTCATTTCTTTTTTAGCTTTTAGCAGTTCGGCGATAATATAATATGATGTTGAGCTCTTTTTCTAGCTCTGTCACACACTCTGTTACGTCCATCGCGATATTTTTTGTCTTAGGATGATTAGTTTGATCTTACTGAGTACAGTTACACATTTCTCTGTCGTGTCATTCCTCATCTTTTGTATGAACTCATTTCTGGGTGAGGTTGGTACATTCTTAATTAAATTTCCTACCTCAGGTATGCTAATGTTCTTCGCGGACTTTTTGCGGTTGTCCAGCGTGGACGCCGCTTATGTTGCCAATTTTTGCGTTTGATTAGTTTGCTTTGCTTGATCGGTATTAATGTTTATTTGGATCCAAACTCTTTGGCACTATCGATGTTCGATTATACAGTCGCTTATAACGAATCCCACTGTTATTTATGCAAATCAGGGTGGCCATGCGAGGGTTGACATAATTTCTTGCGAAATATTGTGTTCAGAGCCAGGATCTGGAGTAGATTAGGAGTACTCTCAACTGAGCCTGTACCACCAACTTAACGGTGACGAGACATCGAACGTGCTTGGAGATTTGGCAAGTTTTAGTAGGACGGAAAAAGACGTAGCGTCAGTCTGAAAGCCGTTTCTATGAAATGTCACTCCCATATATTCAGGCAACAGAATACCACATCCGCCAGCCTGAAAAAATCATCTAGTGCATAATATTACTTCCAGTATGCCATAATCAGAATCTTACTGTGCTCGATTCCGATCGGTGTATAAAACCGGTATTTATAATTGTTTTGCAGTGCCTGTATTTATGTAACTTAAGTTTGGCACGCATATTTCCTTTTTCGTGCCTGCAATGGTGGTTTCGTTGGCATCCATCGTTGGTGCAACTACCTTCTGTTGGGATAGTGCTCACGATTGAATTCCTCGATGGTGCACAGCTATTTAAACACTCTCTGTGCTCTTGGATGTCTCTCGTTGCTATTCTGGGATGGTGGTCGCTTACTTAGAGCCGGCATCTACTCGGCTTAGCTCAGAAGCTTTTCAGGGTTTTTGCAACTTTTTAAGCCACACCTTCCGACGCCTGGCTGGTTTTTAATCGCTTCTTACGACGGGCATGCCTTACCGCGGGAATAACTTATCTCCTTATCCAGCTGGTTATTAGTTTAGATATATATAAATTTTAGACATATACGTTACATGTGTAGTAACTTCGTTATAAAGTTATTATATGATCAGAGGTTTAACGCTTATTCGGTATTAGTACTTTTTTTGAATTTAAAACCATACTTACGGTTTTCAATCCAGTTTATGATCTTGCCAACAAGAAAAGAGTTCTGATAATGATCATCGCTTTTAAAAAGATTTACAACAGGATCCATAATCTCGATACCAAGTACCATTAATAGAACGGTTGGAACAAGCATTTGAAACTGAAAAAGTATGAGTTTAAATAATATTAATTAAAATTTTATTAGGAATTAGCATAAATTCCTGCAAGAGAAGAATATATAAGAACAAAAAGGAATTAAAATATTTTCTTGTCTGCTCTTAGCTCATATGTATGCTCAGATGTCATTGGCCAGTAGGTTTTCAAGCATTTTCTTTAATCAGAACAAAAAACTACAAAGAAGAAAAGGAAACAATTGGATATGACCAGACCTAACAATTTTAAGTCTTTCCACTGGGAAAATTTATAAACAACTTAACCTGGGGAGTATTCCAAATGTAGATCTTCCAAAAATAATCGCGTTTTTCAACCAAACAGGTTGGTCTTAAAAACAATGTTGCCAATCAACCAAAGGAAATCCTGTCATCAATAAAACTAAATTATTAGGTTCTATCTCCCCCTGGTATTACTATGTAGTGCAATGATATTAATTGAATATTGATTCTGAGAAAATATAATAAGTAATACGTTTTTCAATGTAGTACTATCCTGAGTGTTCCTACTTTGGAGAAATGCAGGTGTGACTGATCTGCCGAGTAATAACCGCACATGTGAAGATTAGCTGGTTAGAGATTAATTTACGTGCAGTGCAAGAAATGTAAATTAAATGTATATTTATGTGAACAAGGTTCAAATATAACTCAAGCTGTCTGTAGATACTTCCGGAGTATTGATTTCACAAAGTCGTTCATATATTATAAGCTTTTGATGTAATTAAAATTCAATAGATGTTTCATATCCATCATAACACATTAGGTTTCATAAATCATACAATCAAAGTCGAAACATGAGTATTTCTTCACATAGAGAGCTTTAACTCTGGTTTGCTAAGTATGAAAAGTCTGAAAAAAGTGTAAAAATTAAGTATATTTGAGGTATAAACTGCCTGAATATACATCAGTTGTTTAATAAACAATCGAAGAATTGAAGGGACCTTTGTAGAACGTTCATTTTACAGCAATAGTAATATTATTTTTATTCTACAATAATTACATGTATATATTATTGTATTTAAAAACTTACGAAAGTGAAAATTGCCACCACAATAACTCCTAAACGTACTGAACAGTAGAAAAAATAGGTTTCCATCCACAACATTTTTAAAAAGTTTTTAAAATATTTTTTTTTGTAAAATTCAAATAAAACTTTTAACTTCACGCATTGCTGCTGTTTTCTTCCTAGCGTCCTTTCAATGTCCTGTTGATTTTCTAATGAAACCGAAAGTTCATATACAAAACTCGTACCAGCAACCGAACTGAATAAGTGAATATAATGACAATAATACCCGGTAGATAATCAGATTAAAATCTTCGAACACAAAAACTCCATTTAAATTTCAATAAGCCAAATAAACGGACAAATTGCATATATTGTATTTGTGTCCATACAATGAAATTTATATACGCAAGGATATACGTGGGACTATCTACAAATGTTTAATTAACGGTAATTACATTTGGTTATGAAATACTAAAAGCTTGTCATACCAAATAAGGACACATTTCACGTAAACATATTCATATACATATATACATGTTAACATATTCCTAAATATTCATATATATTCATATATATATTCATATATACATATATTGAGTATGCGTGTATATTATTATATTGAAAACGAAGCAACTGGATAAAACCCTTGTTGATATGAAATTGTCATACGTAATGATTAGAAAGTCAAATATGTTAGAGTGGATGTTACATATAAGGACCTGTATATTCTAAGGACCAAGCGTTTCTTGACTATAAAAAAAGGTTTAAGACCACCAATGTAATTTAAACTTACTTTAAAAAATCTTGGTGATAATAATAAACGAGCAAAATAATAAAAATATTTCAACAAAGTTGGAATTGAGACATAGAAAAGAATGTGAGAAATCGAAAGAGAGACAGAGAGAAAGAAAGAGATTGAGAAACTACAAATGAGTAGGGTCAAAATATAGATTTAAATTTACACCGATTTAAAAATAGTTTTTAGAGACATTTATTTTTCACAATGCAACATATCGATATAGTACTCTAGATATCGAGGTTTAAACTTTGAAATTTTGGTCAACCAGTCTTCATGTTGTTACTTTTGTTCCTCATGTTGGTAAAGGTCTCGACGCAGATCAAAAATTAAACAAGCATGGCAGCGTCACAAGTCAATATAAAAGAGATAAAAGAGAAATAAATCTCTCCGAATAGTGGGTGTTTTAGTCTGTATACTACATATCAATAAGTTAGGGAATCATGTATCTATTCCGACAATGGTGAAAGGTCACCACAAAAAAAAATGTTACTTGTCGTTCCAGTAATCAATATAAAAATAATTGACGCTAGGTGGCATTTGTAGTTTTTGTTAGAGTAGTCAATGTAAAAGGATTAAAAATTCAAACCACAATATCTTGAGAAATAGGCCACATACCATGGTACCATGGTACATTAGGACGAGTGACATCCTCAGGGGTCTTAAGATTGTACCGATCAAAAAATACATAAAGGATAAAACCCAAAAATTATTTACGAAAACTGACAGATTTACCAACACCGCGTTATCGAACCTCAGAATAGTTACAGGCTCCTCGGGGAGGTGTGCAGAACTGAGGTCAACTATACACTAAAAAGATCAACAAGCACTGCAATGAAGATTGAAGACAGGCAAAGGGGTTGTTTAAAAAGTAATAAAATTCGAACTGTTATTCATTCTCAGTTCCTCAGAACTCAACACATATTTTGTGTAAAAATTTTTGGATAAATGAAACACAGAAAGGTCAATACCAAATAAAAAAATTTGCCGACTTTAAAGTAAGATCCTTCGATTGCAATACTACTGTACTAGCTTTTGATCCGACCGAATCCAAATTCTAATTTCAGAGAATTTATTAAATCTTATTGAAATTTTCATTATGGTTCGAAATGAGTTCCTGTGAGTTAAATGTATATTAAGCATATTCATGTTGAGGTTAAAACTGCTGCAATAAAAATCAAATTGTAATGTCAAAATTAAGTTCATTGTTATATTGATGTATTATACTATGTTCAGACACACCCCAATTTCGCAAAAATCTTAATTTCATCTTCGTTTCAGTGAAATTAACTTGTTTTTTCCATACAAAATTCAGTTTTAAGGTTAGAACGAAATGAAGGAAAATTGCCTTAATTTCGTTGAAACGAAGGCTAAAATTAAGGGACATTTCAAATGCAACTATGCGTAAGATAAATTTAAATCAAGTTGTAATAATAAAAAAATGAAATTTTTTTAAATAAAAGTAAGTGACAGTTGACTTTAATAAAACCGGAAAAATATATTGAAAATAGTGCAAATTTTTAAATTTGAATTTAGTGAAAAACTATAATTGTTATTAATTGTAGATAGAAATTCATGTAATCGTTAACAGTCCAATTGTAAACAAAAAACATATGATTTTCTTAATTTGGGGCAGTATGAACACTTTCGGAATTAACAAAATTAAGGAAATTTGGCTGTTTGAACATAACATTAATTATTTATAGATATACCATTTAGAAACTAAGTACAGCTCATATATTATTATTATTATTATTATTATTATTATTATTATCATGGCATATTTGTAATTTACATAGAGTGCATATTTGTTTGAATTTTTACAATGAAGAAATTATGAGACTAAGGTCTCTCGAAATCTCTTAGGGATCGATTTGCAATTAAATCGCTTAAGAAACACGGTTTGCCAACAGTATTCTGACTAAATTTTTTATATTGATTTGGATAGGATGGTAAAAAACTTGCTCGGGTTTTGATTTGTAAGAGCATGAGAGTATGAGAAATGCAATGCATCGAAAGCATCGGGATATTGTGAGACTTGAACCTACTGAAATCATCTCTAGGAAATTCAATGTTATTGCTAGATAATATTTACTGATTGGCAATAAATTTTTTGTAAGGGGTTATTGTAACCACGCTTGTAGAGCAGGATCATATGATTATAGGAGAAATGCAAATAATATCATTCATATAAGGGGTCAAGCATTAAAGGAGTAAAAAGGTTTTTACATTTTTACTCAGATTATTAAGTAGGTTGGTGGAAATTGCGCTGGGGGATGAAAAACCGAGAATAGTATTGTAGAAAAATAACAAACTGTAATATTTAATATACAGATATGCTGCATTAAACGGAATTATTTAACGAATTTTAAAAATATTACTAAGCAAACAATACTAATTTCTGGTGGCCACGATTGACTTGAGAAATTTTACTTGAAGATGCAATTATAGCTTTGTCCTAGTCTTGCTTTGAATTTTTCTCTCCTAATTTCTTTAATGCCAGCGAAAGTCATATTTACATTTGTGACTAATATAGTATCTTAATTATCCGCATTTATAGTTAACAGTAACCACAGTGTCAGTTTATATGCATTTGCTCTTTGCATTTCAAGCTCGTATAGTTTCCAGAGAATAATTAATAGTCTAAGCCTAGCAAGGTTATGTTATAGTTAAGTTCAGTAAAGACAGTCAGTGGTGTGATAACAAAATACATTCTAAGGCCGGTTTCAGCTTTCTTAATGAAATGAATACATTTATATATACAAATACATTTTTCAAAAAATACAACCAAATTAAATGAGCAAACTATTTTATTGTAAATGACCCGGTCCACTCGCTGAACTTAACTCGATGTTCATAATACCGGACAACGACATTTTTAAATATATTTTTATCAAAAGTTTAACTAATTTTCGTCCGAGTTCTGCACTTATATACACACATATCAGTATATTGTTTTTTAATTAAAATGGGTACATTTTCTCATTATGGTATATTCAATATTATGTCCAAAAAACTGATTTTTATTTGTGCTATGAATGGGAATAGATCTGCAGGAGTTTCTGACTTGACGGGAAAGTCCTTTTGTCTTTGGACTCAATTTTTCTATTAAAAAATATTATTTCTTATAAAAAGTGTTTTAATGTTAATACAAGTTTATTATAAAGCCTTTCATGAATCGCTAAAATGTAGTAAAATATTTTCATATAAAACATTTATTTATCAACTCGTACATTGAAATAATTATAAATAACAACAAATTATTAAGGCTTATAAAAATTTAAACTTTTTTACAAAAAAATATAAATGAAAATTATAATAATGTGGCCAATTTGACTTGGCAAGAAGTTTTAATTACAAATTTTTATTTGCTCTCCCTACAGAAGTAACTAATTCGTCCCCGGAGGTCCATTCCAACCACTACCGTGTATCACTTTTCAAGGCAATTTAAATCGTTGGTAAGTGATGCTCGGTGCGATGAAGAAGTGTTGAGTTTTTGTTAATTGGTTGCAATTTCACATAATCCTGATGATGATGATGATGCTGTGTGCTGGGTAGCAGTGGAAGTGAAGTATTTGAAGTCTGTCATAGAATCGGTTAAATAAATTAAAATCATTAATTGGGAATGAAGGCGAGGGATTGTTGATTGTTACCTTTGATTTGTCACGCGCTGCTGTTGGTTGTAATAGAGATTGTTGTTGCTGCTGCTGCTGTTGTTGTTGTTGTAGATGTTGCTGCTGTAGCAATAGCTGTTGTTGCTGTTGTAGTAAGTGTTGCTGTCTTGTTGTAGCTGCATCCAATGAGTTTAGATGCTCCAATTCACGCTGTTTGGCAATATAATCATCGAAATAGGAGTGCTTAATGAGTTTTTCACACGACCATCGCTTGGCGGGATCTTTGTCCAGACACTTCTGTTAAATCAAATAAAAAGAAGTCAAAATAGAATGCATAACAGAAAATTGAGATGTGTAAAGTATTACGTAATTTAAGTGTTAAAGAGAATATGACAGAATATAAATTACATTGCAGTAAGATTTCTGAAATAGTGAATGGAACCTTAATTGCTAATAGTGCAGATGATATATAATTAAATTATATTAAATAATAAGTAATATTTTTTAATAAAGGAAATAATTTAAATTAGAAAATTAAAAAAATCCTGATTGGTAATAAAAATATAATTACAATAATTAAAGTTTTTAACAATTAAAACTCTGAGTTAAAGGGGATGAGTTAGGTTAGGTTGAAATGGCAGCTTTGTGCAACAAAGCTTACTTAAGTAAAAATAATTTTGCGTTCTGATACACGAATAAGACATTGTGCACCAAACTTAAAGAAACTTCACAGAAGTAAACTCCCAAACATCTAGTGCATAAGCGGTATCCCTTTGAGAAGGAGCAACTGCTTGATTAAAGTAGACAGAAGCCAACCTACCATGTCAACAAACTTAGTTATGTCTCTAATTTTAAAGTATTACTGCAGTGTAAGGTCAATTAGGAGAGGAACCTGAAGATTTTGAATCTACTCCAAGCCAAAAATGGACACTAACACATGAAGTAAAGTTAAGTTTTTTCTTCCACACTTCCACCATTTCCTCAAGCTCAAGTCTCATTGCATGCTTCCTTAATAGTGACCTGCCGACACCGATATTGTAAGGCTTACGCCTCAATAGAAGCCGCTTATTGATTCAAATTTTGTCCAATTTGGACTTGAACCATCCTAAGATCCGATAAAAATTTTATCTATGTAGGGTTGAAAGTGAAGCGACACAAAATATTTGTAAAAATATGACGTATTGCAAGCAAACAATTGCTATAAATCTTTATGAAAAAGTCAAATTGTTTAAGCTCTTAATCGAAAGCGAAAAAAAAATAAATATTTTTTATTTATGAATATCTATCTCAGCGATTTTAAATTATTCTTATTACCATGAGAAGGAACACATAGCTCAATTTGGAATATAACACAATTACTAAAACAGACATGAATACATTTAAGATCTTTATATCTCAATAGAAAATACTCATGTTTATTTCTTTTTTGTCATGTAATGAAGACGGGAACACATTTCAGACAAACGAAAACTAAGTGTGAAGAATAAGATACCACCATCAAATTAATAGCCTAAGTTATGTGACATGACAGTACTGTGAGAAGTTCTGTTTTGTTTCTTCAAAGCAATTCAAACTGTTCTTCTGCTGGCATATAGCACACTCCTTCAGTGTAATGGCATATTTATATATTTTAGAAAATCAACAAACCTTCAAAAAATCGATTGTAAGTGGATTTTGCAATGACTTAGCGGGCATTTTATCTTCCAGTGGTTCCAGTGTAGGTGGTACAGGTAATGTTATTCCCTGAAAAATCATCATGTTAAGATATGATGAAATGGAAAAAAATATCATTTTATTTCTCTTTTCATACCTTAAAGTACTCATTTTGACCAAAAATTTGTATGTGTCTGGCCAATAAGTCACCAAGTGTTTTCCGTATCAAATACAACTGATCTACATCACTCCGCCCAGGCCAAAGGGCTTCTCCTCGCACTAGCTCTGCAAATAAGCAACCAATGGCCCAAACGTCGACCGGTGTACCATACTGCGTATCACCTACAAGTAGTTCCGGTGCGCGATACCAACGTGTCGCCACATAATCAGTATAGTTTTCTCCTGGACCTATAAGAAATAAATGAAAACTTTATGGACATGTACTATGGCATAAATATGATAAAACCAAATGAACGAATTTCTAAGAGCGTTGCACATACTTAACATTCTTGCAAAACCGAAATCGCACAGTTTCACTTGGCCTTGTGCTGTCAGCAGTATGTTCTCTGGTTTGATGTCACGATGTAGACAGCCCTGCTTGTGACAGTAGGCCACGCCCAACAGTGTTTGATAGCAGATTTGCTTGGTAAGCGGCTCCGGACAACCCTGCGGATGTCGCTCCAATTCATGCAATACTGTCAGTTCACAAAATTCAAATACCAAGTGCAGACGTCGTTTGCGACGAAACACTTCTAACAGTGACACCAGATTCGGATGTTTTAGATTCTGCATATAAGCAAAACTTTATGTCTTAAATTTCATTTCCATTTAATTTGATTTATTTTTGTAATCACCTTTAACAATCTGATTTCACGTAACGCTATCTTTCTGATCGCCGGATCGTCTTCTGACTCCACAAAGCGCTTCACTGCAACCAAATCCCCCGTTTCACGATCACGACACTTATACACCACTCCATAGGAACCTTCGCCCAAGCGACTTAATTTCTCATATCTATCCATTTTGCTGCTACCTTGAGGTCTATGCGGGGAATATGTATACAAAGGAGAAAAGGAGAGAAGAAAGAGCGAGAGAATAAAATAGAGAAAAATAGTTATGAACATTTTTGGTGTGAAATTTTTTTTGAAGGTGTGGCTTGTGAATTGCGTTGGGTTATCTACTGAACATTATTGGTGGCGAGAAAAGTTAAGTTATTGCTTAAGCTACTTTGACGCTAACTACAAGTTGCACAAACGTTCATTTAATGTTGTTTTGTTTTTTTTTAATTTCTTAAGTATCAATTTTTTTATTTATTTTGTTGTTGTTACCTTAGACTTGAACTTTGACCGCGCATTAAATTGGCGCGACGCATTTGTTTGCTTTGGTACATATGCTAAATTTTTATTAGGCACTCTCAAGACCGGCACTGAGTTCTCGAAATTTTGATATTCTACCCAAGAAAACGGTAATGATGAAGTCATGAAATTGAAATGAGCTATGTACATGCAGCTGAGTTCTTTCTTTTTCGACTTATGACAAAGGCAGAAAATTTTTGTAAATAAAATGAAGAACATGATTAGTTGAAATGTAAGAGAATTTTATGAAAACAACAAAAAATATTATTTACTTATTTATAATAAAAATTAAAAATTTAAATAAAATATATGTGAAATTTAGAAATTATTATAGAAATAAAATATTTTTTTTAAAGTGTATAAAGTACGTATCAACGCCGAAAAGTAATTAGTAGTAGTAGAATGTAGAGTCTAAATTTATAATTGCTAACATGAATTTATAAATTTATAGACTTTGAAAAGTAAGATCCTACTGGGAGTCTTAAACTTTGCTTTTTGGCATTCGCTCATCATACTACACAACGAAAACTGTACCAACTTCCGTTCTAAGTTCAGTGAAGAGTGACTGTTTGGACCAATATGACATATTCGAGTTTTTGTACTACGTAGAGCATAACGCAGATCAATGGTTGCGGCTACAAAACTGTAGGAAGTTTATCGGCAATGATTTTACACATTACACGAACAGTGATGGCAGATTCCATTCACCAGTCTATCCAAAATCAATTAAAAAATCTTATAGAGCTACTATATACACCCTAATGGTTTTCCATAATACGCTGGTTTTAGCGGCTGCAACAATGATTTTGTGGTTTTCAAATTTATGTTCAACACAGCATAAGAGTTCAGATATTATACATCATATGATAAGTTTAATTTACTTTATCTAAAAAACTCTTTCATATTCACAAGCTCAACATTACTATTGATAGCTGCTTAGTTCATAGTTTTTCATTAATAGTTTTTATCACACCTCTTTATTCATATAAAGGTCTTGAAAAAAATTTTTTCTAATAAAGTTTAAAGGCACTGCAACTTTATACCGAAATGGTGAACATGTTAGGTGAATCTGCGCCACCAAAAATAATAGTTTGAAAATTGGTTAGTCAGTTAAGAAGTAGTCGTACAAGCCTTGAGGTTGATCGGCATAAAATATACAGGATTCAGTTTTGGAATATCGTCAAAGCGCAGAGAGAAATTTATTACAAGTTCCTGATATTTCAGTAGGTACAATGAACAATGTGGGTACCGAAATTCTATACATTGCTACAAAAGCACACTAGAACACGATTTTGTCAGCATCTTTTGGAGTATTTCGCATAAGAATTTTGTACACCAAAGACTTTTAAGGGTGCTTAAGTTCATTATGGATGTGGGTGGGAGCCTTAAACGTTTAAAGCATGTCAATAATTTTTTGACTTAGCTAAAAATAGAGAAATTATTTAACATACTACTATTCCGCTAAAATTACTTTGTTCTTAACTCACAAATATTATTAGAAATAACTTGCTATGAGGCACCATTTAAAATCGTAAACCAAAAGTTTGGAGTACAAACACTTTAAAAAATTCATCGTTTGCACATAGATAACTTCATAGAGAAGTTTCACCAACTTTCCACTTAACACTTTTGGTGCTTTAAGGAAGGTACATATGCTACTAGGAACCATTTGTGAAACCCTTCATTTGCACCTAAGAGCAAGGCTATTCCGGTGCGTAGTATTTACGTATGTAAAGTAAGTTTATTATTACATCATTATAGTTTTATTCACATATAGTTCCGTGCAACTTTTAATATAATTTTCATTTAATGGGAATTTTATTTATATTTCTCATACAAACGTGCCATTAGCTCTACGTTTACTTCATTTTTATTGTTCTGCAGTATAAAACGTTCATATAATTTCATATCAACGACATTAACATACGTAACACCTGCTTTAGATCTACATGTACATTTACATATACACTTATCCATAATAAGGAACAATTATATAAAAATCAATACAGTTTTTTTCCATTTTTCCAGATATTTTCAATGTCACCTACGTATAGGTATAATATATATCAGTTATCAATTACAGCTCAGCGAGAAAGGTGATTGAACTTTCCTCGCAAGTGCAGAAGGATTAGTACACTCACATATAAAAATGAAATAAATGAGAAGCTGAACCTCCGCCTTCGCCTCTGCCTCCGCCGACTGTTTGGTGTTTTTCATAAACGATTTTTCAATAAATTTGCACAATATTTTTACATAAGGTCGTATATTTAAATAAGTCGTAGCAGTTCTTACAATTATAAAATCCACAAAAAAAGGATTTGGCTTAACTCAATTCACTCTCGACTTGTGCATTTGTTGTACCTCAACTGACAAGTTTCCCAGTTTAGCCACAGAGCAGAGCGTGGCGAAGGCGGCTCGAGTTGGTAAAGTGGTTGAAACCATTCGCCAATGTCATAGCAATCAAAGTTGTTACCAGAAAACCACAACAAACCGTGTCGTGCAGCAAGTCAGTACGTCAAAAAGGATACCTGGCTGGATCTAAGGAATTTTTTCAATATTAAATTATTACAAAAATTAATGAGAGAAAAAAATTAAACTTATACGATATACCACAGTTAACTAATTTTACGGGGTTGCACTTTTTGGTAACTGCATATAAGACAACGTTACGAAAAAAGTAAAATTAATACACTTTGGGGTAAGTTCATGTTCTTTTCTCCCTCCAAGAGACATTAATAAGTTCCCTGCAGTTCAGAGTAGAGTTTCGCTGTTTTGTTTTCCGAGAACCAAACAAAGCCAAGAAGTTTTGTCATAAGTTTTGGTAGGTCACAAAGTTTTGTGCGTTTCACAACTACATTTAACAATTTCGATATTATCAAAAAGTCTGGTAACCTTACTTCCACAGACCTATAAACGTTTTTAATTCAACCAATGGTTTATTCTTGCTTTGCAGAAATCACATTCGAAAATTTTTATTTTATTAGTCTGAGTTGTTAGACGAAATAATCTAGACAACTGCAGTCAATGTTACATGGTTTTATGAGATAATGCCAATCAAGTCCATTTAGATTAAATATATTAGAAATATATTATTATTTCATCAATGTATATGAATTTGTATCTTCAGGCATGTGGTTTTGTGGGGAGCTTGAAAAGTTGAAGACCACAAAAGTAATTTAAAGGACCTTATTTATAATATATGTATATTATTTATTAAGGCATGACGACTGCTTAATAAGATAATTTTTTTTTTTTAAATAGCTGAAATTCTCTAAAAGATCACCTCCACCCCTTATCCCTGAAAGTAAATTTCTAGCTAGCATGTTTCCTAAGAAAATGGCATGTACAGAAAGTGATTTCTTGAACTAAGGATCGAGTATATACGTGATGTTATAAGACAGTAATGCGAATATTAAAGCCGCAAGCGCTATATCTTGTTTATCAAGGCGATTTCTTTTTGAGTACGCGTTGATGGTTAGTTTGTGTTTGTAAAGGGGATAAGATAGATATACGTTTCAGGCTTATATGATTTTAAATGTTGGTAAAATTTCTAATTAGAATGTTTGTGTAAAAATTAAAGACTAAATTACTAAGTGAGTTTAAAATTATAACTAAAGCTACTTCTCAAGAGTGTTACTCAAAACGAACTCTTCTGTAGCATAAGTGCATAATATTAAAGTTAATGAGATTAATTAAAACTAATATAAATGCTTTTCGAAAAAAATTGAAATTTTGACGCCGTATAAGTCTAACCTGTAGCCTAAAGAATTTTTGTTAACAATAAATTATATATTAAAAATATATCCCAAAAACCACCGATGGTGGGTATTTGGCAATAATAGAAATAATCAGTTAAAAATTTAATTATATTAAAGCAAAATGTTGTTTCACTACTATTTACTAACCTTTCTGTTGAGAAAAATGGTTTCTTTCGATATAGTTGACTTTAATATGACTTCATGTCATTAAAAATGATTGTTTTTTGGTTAAACGACATATTACTACTGATGAAAGAATCCAAATCATAGTCTTCTATACTTGTAAAGTATCGAAAATTTAAAAAAAAACTTAAAGAACTTGCCAACAACATATTTTTGTAGTGATAACATAGTGCTCCAAAACAGGGATTATAAATCACATTATAGAATTATGAACTCAAAAGAATTTTATTACTTCCACATTTGCTGATGATACAGAAATATTCAGAAATGGCTAACTATGAGGAGGATTAGAGTTAATTACGTTTACTCTCAAAAAAGGATGATGCCTGGCTCTAACTCTCTAACTATTAATGAAAAATTCCTCTCCTAAAAAGATTCCGTTAGCTATCTGGGAGTAATACTGAACTGAAGACTAACATGGAAAAATCTAATATATGAAAAACTAATACAAGTAAAACTGAATATTTCTAAACTCAATTAGATTGTTGATCATAAATTAAAATTTAGTCTAGGTATTAGAATGCTTTTATTTAATGCAATGATAAAACCGTGCTGGACATATGCGATACAACTATATGGTACTACTTCAAGCTCAATTTTAGACAAGTTCAAAGATTGTAAGCAAAAATGTAAAGAAGTACTTGTGGAGCTTCTGGTATGTATAAAATAATAATATTCACAAGGCACAATATAATTAAGGAGGAAATTTAAAAATTAGGTGACAATTATATGCTCAGATTACTAAACGACCACAATAACCCAGCTAGAAAACTTTTAGTGAGGCATTATCCAAGGATATCAAAAAAAAGGACTTTTAGTTCAGAAACTCAAAACGCACATGGAAGTTCTTTTCCGTCTCTAACTATTTGTTAATATTAGTATTTATTAATATTATTAATTTTAATTTTATAATATTAATATTGGTTACATTTACCTATATAGTAATTGCTCTCAATTAAGAGTCGGTCAAAAACGTCTTATTAAGTTGTAACTATTTATTGATAATGTGATATTTTCTAGTACAGTGGTGCAGGAAACAAAATAAGATATATTAGCTATAACATATGACTCATTAT